AATTCTCATCCAAGCAAATAGGAAGATTACATCCAAAACTTTGCTCGCCACTCGCGCTCGATGGTAGCATCCTTAGTGTCTGATCCACAAATAAACTAGTGGTAATGTTTGCCACTGGTGGTGTTGCGGAAATGACATCGATCCATGCACGCAACAAACGGGCGACATATATGACAACTGCAAGTTCTGAAATAATGCATCAATTATGTCACGCACCGAACCCTCATCGAGCTCGCGACATCCCGCTTCGGTCGAAATATTGCGACGTCCCAGGAACGTCGCCGACCCAACCCAAACATCAGAGCCACATGCGGAAGCGAATATAAAACCCCGGACAAAAAGATGACGACGACGGGGTAGAACACCATAAGAATCAAACAACAACATCACATACAGCACCAAATAGACAAACATCATATTACAGACATAAATACAGACGAACATCCTCTGCCACCGTTTTAACAAAAGTTCAGGGGTTTGGTTATCTTAACTTCACTATCGGATAACCCAAGTTGAACAACCCCTAAAATACCCTAGGGAAAAACCTAAGGGTCGCCCTTCTCCATTCTGCTCCTAATTCATCTGACTCGATCCTCCGGAAATCTCTTGGGCATCGCCTACGAATCCACCGGGCACCATGGGCGGCTCTTCGTACTTCAAAAAGAGGAAGCGGACTCCCTGGGTTTACGGCTGGGGGTCTGAAAGTGGTGGTTATACAACCATGAGACGAATCTCAATAAATGTACAACCCCAAACCCCACGTAGGCACTCACGTACCGCCAGACAGAACACGCATCTCACACAACGATCAATCACTCTAACAATCACACACGAACCTACCTGGAACCCATCATGCACGTTCCTGCACGTTAGACCATAATACAACCAGCACATCGCAGTAAGGAATCATAGACGCGCGCGTGCCTCAATTATAAGACAGAAACCATTTGGGCACGTCCCATACCGTGCCTAGCAGTTTCTACCCCATAATTAAACATCAGATCACGCGATACAAATACACTCGCACACTAACTCACACCACACATCACTTTCCCAAATCTCACACCTCAAGCCAGTTCCCGCTCAATCTCAACTCTTTCACCACTACCGCGCCCGCGTAAAACGCATCAGGCCAACGGTCTTCTGACCTCGTCAGGCATCGACACCCCGTCGGGCCGGGCATCGTCACCTCGTCAGGGACGGCATCGTCCCACGTAAACGAACACGCCTCAGGACGGAATCCTACACACACATTCCTTCTACCGCGCCCGCGTAAAACGCATCAGGCCAACGGTCTTCTGACCTCGTCAGGCATCGACACCCCGTCGGGCCGGGCATCGTCACCTCGTCAGGGACAGCATCGTTCCGCGTAAACGAACACGCCTTAGGACGGAATCCTACACACACTTTCCTTCTACCGCGCCCGCGTAAAACGCATCAGGCCAACGGTCTTCTGACCTCGTCAGGCATCGACACCCCGTCGGGCCGGGCATCGTCACCTCGTCAGGGACGGCATCGTCCCGCGTAAACGTACACGCCTCAGGACGGATCCCCTTTTCCAACCAATCCTACCTTTCCATACCTTCGTTCCACTCATACCACATCTATCACACGGTCACACACGGCCTCCCTTAGACACGGCCACACATACGCACGGCCAAACACACACACCTAACACACATGCCACAATTTCGCATTCTCGTCACACGAACACGCACCACTTAACCACACGCTCTTGGCACGCGAATTCAATGCATATTCACACGACCACGCCACCACATTTCACATCCACACAAACAAGGCACACGGCCAACCCACAATCAGCCCAAACACAGTCCCGAACAGTCAACAATCACAACCAATACAATTATCTCAATAAGCCCAATCAAGCCACAACAATTCCAACCAATCACACATTTAATTCCCGATCAATCCTTAACATCACAGCCCTAACTCAGCCTCATAAACCTCGAAATTTCATCGCCAAATCAGTCCACAACAAACCAATTTCCAGCCCTCAATTCATCTCCAAAATAGCCCCTAAAATGCCTGAACCGAGTCCTAAACGAGCCTAGCAATACCCGAGGTCCTAGGTAGTTTTTGGGGGAGACACTTACTCTAAAAGGCGGGACAAACAGGGCTAGATGAGCGGCTGGAACAAGCGGAACAGGCGGCGGCCAGCGGCAAGCGGCGCCGGCGACCAAGCGGGCGGCGGGCGAGCCGCCTTGGGCGGGTGGGCGGCCGGCGGCAAACGGGCGGGCGAGGGTGGCGATGGTCACGTACAGGGCAGGGGAAGGCGGCCTGGGGTGGCTCGGCGGCAGCTTGGCCGATCGGAACAGGGAAAGACGGAGAGAGAAGAGAGAGGCGGACGGTGGCCGGAAAGGAGAAGCAGCGGCGCCGGGCGGCTGGGCTGGGCGGCGACCGACGGCGGTGAGCTGATGGCCAGCCTTGCTGGGTCACGCACGAAGGAGAGGGGAGAGAGAGAGAGGGCCGATCGGTGGGGGTGAGGGTGAGGAGAGAGAGAACGTGAGAGTGAAAGAGAGAGAGAATTTCGGGAGAGAGAGAGAGAAAACGGGAGAGGAGGGGCTGATCGTGGGAGAGAGGGGATGGCCGGAGGTGAGGTGAGAGAGAGAGAGATCTGACCGGTCAAAGATGGGGGGCCAAAGGGGACACTTGTTGCGATCCTACGCACTTGACCATTTTACCCTTAATCCGACGGTCCTCGATGATCCTATCCAAATAATTGAGGGGCGCAATGGTCTTTAGGTCCAATAATGCAGCTGATAAGTACTCTTAATTATCCCAAATATTTTTCCAAAATTTCGAACTGAAAACGGCCCAGGGGCAAAACGGTCATTTTTCCGGTCCCGGGTCGAAATTTCATTTTTCGCCCGTACCAACCCCAAATGGGTGTGGCCAACATAATATGGCGTCGGAATCGCGAAAATAGCTTCTTAAGCCCTCGAAAATCGACTGCAAAGTCCTGGGGATTAAAATAATATTATTTTTCACTTCCGAGCCAAAATTCCAATTTTTGACCGTAACCACTCCAAACATGCGTGGCCACCCCAAAATGGCATCGGCCTCGAAAAATAACCTCATACGGCCTCAGAATCAATGTGGGGGTCCAGTGGGGCAAAATCGTAAATTTTCACTTCCGGGTCGAAATTCATTTTTTTGCAGAAATGGATGGCCCCAAGGTTGGCCAAGCCAAAAACGTCATCGGTTGCTCGAAATTGTCACTTTCAAAATTCTCGATTTCCGGGCCCGAATTTCAAGAAATGACTAAAATCGAGCAATCGCAACTTTAGCTTATCTCTTGCTAACGGGTGGCTCATTTGGATTACGCGCTCTCGACCCGTGATCGACACCAAGTCAAATCACGTTTAAGTTTACTCTACCCGGGACGACCTCGGTTGTCATATAATTGCGAGGGTCTGTCGCTAGTTCCCTTCGGACACGATCAATCAAATAGATCGGTCTCTGTTGATTCAAAACATTCCCTCGTCAATCGATATGGTCGAAGATTGAACCAAGGTCGAGTTCTTTGGTCGTGCGAACTCAATCCCGTACTAGCCTTACCCCTAAGGTTAGCATCCTGTGAATGCGCATTTCTGGGTGAGATCTCACTATAGTGTATTGGTCAAATTCATTTCTTAAATCCCGGGAAAAGGATCGAAAATTCAGACTGTTACAATTCTTCCCCCCTAATAAAATTTCGTCCTCGAAATTTACAACTATACTTGCTATCCAAACAGATGGGGGTGATGACGTCTCATTATTCCTTTCTCTCAAATGGTACCTTCTAGCTCGTAATGCTCCCAAACAATTTTGATCAATGGGACCGTCTTAATCCTTAAAACTTGTTCCTTTCCATTTGCCCCGAAAATCCAATACACATGTCCACAGCATATCCTCTAAAGTCTATATAGTCCGTCTAAACTGGCCATCCAATAAAATCTCTTACTTAAATCCTGACAGCAGCGCAACTATCGAGGTTCCTTCTCGACTCCTTACAACCTCAAATCAAAGGTGTCCAGCCAGACTAAACTGAATCATCCTACTGCTGCAATCCATTACAGCATTCTGTTTAACTAACCAATCCAAGCCCACGATTAACTCAAAATCACACATGATCAACACAGCCTATCCTGTTTTCTACACCACCAAACACCATTTCACAGTCTGAACATCCCAACAACATGCACATCTTATTCATCAATGGCATAATCACACACGCTGATACTTCTGAAAACCATTTCAATCCAGTCATATAACAAATCAAGCAGACATAAACGAGTGCGACGCCCCCGAATCTATAAAACAAATGCCACATAATTATACAGAGAAACCATACCTGTACCTTCGCCTGGCATATTCTCAACTCCCTTTTGCGTCAGGGCGTACATTCGTCCTTGTGCTAGCGGTCTGTTCGAACAAGCCGGCGGGGCTGCACTAGTCGGATTCCCAATCCGAGGTGTCTGCGATGACGGGGGTGGTCGAACCTGAATATTCGGACAATTCCTTATGTGGTGTCTCATTCCACCACACCCAAAACATGCCCCAGTCACACTTGGGCAGGGACCATTCCCATGGTATCTCCTACATCGTCTATAGGCGGAATTAGACGGATATGCCGACTTCCCAATATTCCTTCTTGCCGGAGGGACAAAACGTCGGTTTTCCATCATCGGCCTTTTCCCCTGCTGACGATCGTCCCCGGCTAAGATATGTTGTGATCCAGACGCGGCAGCTCTTTCCGTCATATCCTGCTCCATAATCTGAGCTCGCCTATACATTTCCCCATAATCTTTAAGGTCATGCAACAAAATCTGGCTCCGAAGATCCGGCGTCAGTCCGTCCCGGAATCTTCAAGCTCTGTCTCGCGGATTTTCCACCATAGTCGGGGCAAACTTTGCCAACCTCGCAAACTCCGCTTTATATTGATCAACTGTCATCTGTCCTTGGCGCAATCGCATGAATTCCATCAATTTCTTCTCCTAGGCGTTCTCCGAAAAATACTTCTCATAGAAACTCTCAACAAAGACTGCCCAAGTTGGTGCCGTTCCTTCAGGGAATACTCTGCCTTCTGTGGCCTTCCACCAATCATTTGCACCGTCCTGCAACTGATAAACCGCCAATGTTACCATCTCCTCATCGGTGCACCCCAAAACTTTAAAAGTTTTCTCCAATGATTCCACCCATCTCGGTGCAGTCTCGGGGTCACCACTACCATGAAACTGAGGCGGCTTCAACTTTATGAACTGTTCCACTAATTGGGGCATCTGTCTAACCCCTGCTGGTTGAACCTGCCCTTGCTGGGCTTGATTTCCTCCAACACCAGCATTCTCATTAACTACAGCAGCTGCAGCCTCAGAAGCTTGGGCGGTCGCATTATCTCGCTCTTGAGCTTGCCTATCCAACATATTCCCAATCCTCTCTAATACCCTGAGAACTCCTTCCATACGCGGATCTTCCGCAGGTCTAACATCAGCTCTGGGGTCCACTGCAGCTCCTACACCAACTCCAGGGTTTTCTACCACTCTTGCACCCATATCAATGTCCTCTACGGCTCTAGCTCGAGCACGACCTCTACCTCTTATTCGTCTTCCAGCGCCCCTTCTTGGGACTCTTCCTACTCCTCTTCCTTCGCTGCTCATTGAATCAGCTTCCTACTATTCTCATACCTGCTATAAGCCCACATTGGTATTAGGGACCTAGGCCAACTACACTAGTCCAAACCCTAGGCACAGAACTCGACAACCAACACTCAACAACCAACAACCCATCATCAAATCAATCACCTAACATCAAGGCAACATCACCAAGCACTCAACAGGGTTCTCGTACTCACCTCCAGTCCTGCCGCACCTTCGTCTCAAACAACATCACATGCACAATAAATCACTCGGCAATCACAGGCGCGTACTCACAGAGCATGCATAAACAACATAAACACGCATCTACAAAGGGCTCCCTAACTGGCTACCCTGAAGTCGCCGCTCCTTATCACTCCAGGTCTCGACCTTGCCGGTATCGAGCTAGCCTTGCTCTGATACCAATTTAAACGGGGATGTCACGCCCCGAACCCTCATCGAGCTCGCGACATCCCGCTTCGGTCGAAATATTGCGACGTCCCAGGAACGTCGCCGACTCAACCCAAACATCAGAGTCACATGCGGAAGCGAATATAAAAACCCCGGACAAAAAGATGACGACGACGGGGTAGAACACCATAAGAATCAAACAACAACATCACATACAGCACCAAATATACAAACATCATATTACAGACGTAAATACAGACAAACATCCTCTGCCACCGTTTTAACAAAAGTTCAGGGGTTTGGTTATCTTAACTTCACTATCGGATAACCCAAGTTGAACAACCCCTAAAATACCCTAGGGAAAAACCTAAGGGTCACCCTTCTCCATTCTGCTCGTAATTCATCTGACTCGATCCTCCGGAAATCTCTTGGGCATCGCCTACGAATCCACCGGGCACCATGGGCAGCTCTTCGTACTTCAAAAAGAGGAAGCGGACTCCCTGGGTTTATGGCTGGGGGTCTGAAAGTGGTGGTTATACAACTATGAGACGAATCTCAATAAGTGTACAACCCCAAACCCCACGTAAGCACTCACGTATCGCCAGACAGAACACGCATCTCACACAACGATCAATCACTCTAACAATCACACACGAACCTACCTGGAACCCATCAAGCACGTTCCTGCACGTTAGACCATAATACAACCAGCACATCGCAGCAAGGAATCATAGACGCGCGCGTGCCTCAATTATAAGACAGAAACCACTTGGGCACGTCCCATACCGTGCCTAGTAGTTTCTACCCCATAATTAAACATCACATCACGCGATACAAATACACTCGCACACTAACTCACACCACACATCACTTTCCCAAATCTCACACCTCAAGCCAGTTCCCGCTCAATCTCAACTCTTTCACCACTACAGCGCCCGCGTAAAACGTATTAGGCCAACGGTCTTCTGACCTCGTCAGGCATCAACACCTCGTCGGGCCGGGCATCGACACCTCGTCGGGCCGAGCATCGTCACCTCGTAAACGAACACGCCTCAGGACGGAATCCTACACACACATTCCTTCTACCGCGCCCGCGTAAAACGCATCAGGCCAACGGTCTTTTGACCTCGTCAGGCATCGACACCCCGTCGGGCCGGGCATCGTCACCTCGTCAGGGACGGCATTGTCCCGCGTAAACGTACACGCCTCAGGACGGATCCCCTTTTCCAACCAATCCTACCTTTCCGTACCTTCGTTCCACTCATACCACATCTATCACACGGTCATACACGGCCTCCCTTACACACGGCCAAACACACACACCTCACACATGCCACAATTTCGCATTCTCGTCACACGAACACGCACACTTAACCACACGCTCTTGGCACGCGAACTCAATGCATATTCACACGACCACGCCACCACATTTCACATCCACACAAACAAGGCACACGGCCAACCCACAATCAGCCCAAACACAGTCCCGAACAGTCAACAATCACAACCAATACAGTTATCTCAATAAGCCCAATCAAGCCACAACAATTCCAACCAATCACACATTTAATTTCCGATCAATCCTCAACATCACAGCCCTAACTCAGCCTCCTAAACCTCGAAATTTCATCGCCAAATCAGTCCACAACAAACCAATTTCCAGCCCTCAATTCAGCTCCAAAACAGCCCCTAAAATGCCTAAACCGAGTCCTAAACGAGCCTAGCAATACCCGAGGTCCTAGGTAGTTTTTGGGGGAGACACTTACTCTAAAAGGCGGGACAAACAGGGCTAGATGAGCGGCTGGAACAAGCGGAACAGCAGCAGCAGCAGCAACGGCGCCGGCGACCAAGCAGGCGAGCGGCTGAGCTGCCTTGGGCGGGTGGCTGGCCGGCGGCAAACGGGCGGCTGAGGGTGGCGATGGTCACGTACAGGGCAGGGGAAGGCGGCCTGGGGTGGCTCGGCGGCAGCTTGGCCGATCGGAACAGGGAAAGACGGAGAGAGAAGAGAGAGGCGAACGGTGGCCGGAAAGGAGAAGCAGCGGCGCCGGGCGGCTGGGCTGGGCGGCGACCGACGGCGGTGAGCTGATGGCCAGCCTTGCTGGGTCACGCACGAAGGAGAGGGGAGAGAGAGAGAGGGCCGATCGGTGGGGGTGAGGGTGAGGGTGAGGAGAGAGAGAACGTGAGAGTGAAAGAGAGAGAGAGAAAACGGGAGAGGAGGGGCTGATCGCAGGAGAGAGGGGATGGCCGGAGGTGAGGTGAGAGAGAGAGAGATCTGACCGGTCAAAGATGGGAGGCCAAAAGGGGACACTTGTCGCGATCCTACGCACTTGACCATTTTACCCTTAATCCGACGGTCCTCGATGATCCTATCCAAATAATTGAGGGGCGCATTGGTCTTTAGGTCCAATAATGCAGGTGATAGGTACTCTTAATTATCCCAAATATTTTCCCAAAATTCCGAACTGAAAACGGCCCAGGGGCAAAACGATCATTTTTCCGGTCCCGGGTCGAAATTCCATTTTTCGCCCATACCAACCCCAAATGGGTGTGGCCAACATAATATGGCGTCAGAATCGCGAAAATAGCTTCTTAAGCCCTCGAAAATCGACTGCAAAGTCCTGGGGATTAAAATAATATTATTTTTCACTTCCGAGCCAAAATTCCAATTTTTGATCGTAACTACTACAAACATGCGTGGCCACCCCAAAATGACATCGGCCTCGAAAAATAACCTCATACGGCCTCAGAATCAACGTCGGGGTCCAGAGGGGCAAAATCGTAAATTTTCACTTCAGGGTCGAAATTCATTTTTTTGCAGAAATGGATGGCCCTAAGGTTGGCCAAGCCAAAAACGTCATCGGCCGCTCGAAATTGTCACTTTCAAAATTCTCGATTCCCGCGCCCGAATTCCAAGAAATGACTAAAATCGAGCAATCGCAACTTTAGCTTATCTCTTGCTAACGGGTGGCTCATTTGGATTACGCGCTCTCGACCCGTGACCGACACCAAGTCAAATCACGTTTAAGTTTACTCTACCCGGGACGACCTCGGTTGTCATATAATTGCGAGGGTCTGTTGCTAGTTCCCTTCGGACACGATCAATCAAATAGATCGGTCTCTGTTGGCTCAAAATATTCCCTCGTCAATCGATATGGTCGAAGATCGAACCAAGGTCGAGTTCTTTGGTCGTGCGAACTCAATCCCGTACTGGCCTTACCCCTAAGGTTAGCATCCCATAAATGCGCATTTCCGGGTGAGATCTCACTATAGTGTATTGGTCAAATTCATTTCTTAAATCCCGGGAAAAGGATCGAAAATTCGGACTGTTACAAATTATCACCTCCACGTTTTATTCCAAGACAGGGACCACATAACATGATAGATACCCCTTAGACCCCTTCTCGAACATGAGAGGGACCATCAAAGCGACCGACAAGTAAGGAAAGAAACTAGTGGACGATCCAAGTTCATTTGTTTCAGATCGTCCTTGCCAATGCGCACATCTTTTTTGCCATTGCACACGAGAGATGGACCTACTCATGTCCTGATGTTTTGGATAGCCTTCTCAAGGGCGACAACTGTGCTGTGCATACTTGGAAATGCCATCGGTTTCTTCAGTCCCATGGTCCAGGAAATACTTAGATCATGCCTATGTATAAACTATTGCCATAAGGGAGTTTGTCTTACCAATTATATATTCTCAAAAGCAGTTCTAAAACTGAGCTCCCAAGGAAGTGACGATGCATTTAGTCTAGTGGCACGCTTTGGATGATAAGATTAGTTCTTAGGATGACAATAAATATCCTGACTTATGATATACACACAACAACCAGCACAACCTACTTATGACTTCCTTAATTTATAAATTGAAAATACCATAAAAAACCCTAAATTATACACAATGCGATACCAATATCCCAAACCTTATTTGGTGTCATCAAACACCCCAAATTTTTACTAGTGTTACAAAAATACCTTCCGGCTGTTAAACTTCCGACATGGGGACTTACATGGAAAATGGCAAGCAAATGGAGCTGACCTAGATATGGAAAATTTCCTTGCAAGCCTAAACTTTACCTAGCGCAACATCAATGCCCCCAAACTTTGCCTTAGTGTCCAACATAAGCAGTGCGCAGCTCAGCAGCGTCCAAATAATCTTTAATGCAAATGTATATTGCCGGTCAGACAGCAGAAGGTATGACCAAGTAAGGTCCAGTTTGCTGATTTGACTATGGCCAATTCATATATGTATATTGCCAGTCACAGTACTGAAGGAAAATAGAAGAACCATACCAGTAATATGCTTCAAATGAGGCTAAAAACCTCTCTTCAGTTAGAACTTGGATGATTACAACTGAAAAAGTACTAACTTGACGTCACCGTACAAGTTATTATAAGGTTCTAGAAAAAGATTAAAAAAGACGAATTTTCAACTAACTTGGATGATTGCACAGAAAAATACCAACTGGACATCAGTAACCAAGTTAGTTTTTTAAAATAACAAACGAAAGCAGAGCGAGCCTCTTCTTGCAAAACGGGTGGTGGAGAGCTCTAGTGCAAGTCAATGATATATCAATCAGATCTCGAAATTAAATTATATACAAAAGACTCGTCACAAAAATGGAGAGACAGTGTTTCGGAGAAGATAAACGTTTGCCTTTTCTGTTCCTTATTGTCTAGAATTTTCGAACATAAGATGCTATGGCCTATAAATACCCATCAAGAAGGTTTTGACTTCTCACAAAAAGATCCTCTTACCCTCTAGTGTTCTTCATCGTTTGGTCAGACACCTTAAAATCTAATAACAGGGAAAAACATATGTCTCTTCAGATCTCAGCAATCCCATCTTCTCCTTCTGCTCAAGAAACGAGCCACGTGGCGAAACGCCGGTCGGCGAATTTTCATCCAAGCCTATGGGGGGATTACTTCCTCAGATATGCTTCTGATTCATACTCGATGGTAGCGACTTTAATAACTTGCTTAAAACTAGCTACGTGCTTCTGAAAATTTGGAGTCCTTACATTTAGCGAATAGGGATAGCATATGTATGGCGCATCAAGTATCATCTTTTCTTGTATAGCAGAGGTCCAACCATAGGCTTCAACCTAAATGCTTTATTTTATGGACTCTAGTCCAACGATAATTGGCGTTGTTATACATTAATATCTTGTTTATTGCACCCCAGGTTCCCGAAAAGAACTCAGTTTTCATGTCTATAGGTCAAACTATAACGTCCAACAGTACTTCTATGTCAACAAATTGTTTTTCTCGTGGCTCAAGCTCCTCGAGACTCTCAGCCTTGCTGATCATATAGTAGCGGGCGAAATGTCCTGTTTTATGTTATGTGAAATGGATTATATAGCGAAGTGCCTGATGGTTTCACCCTTCTGAGGTGCCTAATGCGACGAGCCATTCATGCATTTGTCTATTTTGGAACAATAAAAGGCGAAACTTGTGACTCGTGCGCCATGTGTGGTTCATGCATATCATCAGAACTTCCACGGCATAGAAGAACAAATCGAGAAGTTGAAAGAGGAGGTGAAGAAGATGGTGGCCGCTATTGTGCCGACTTCGCAAAAACTGGACTTGATAGATCAAATCCAACGGCTGGGAATCGCCTACTGTTTACAAGGTGTGATAGACGAGCAACTAGAACAAATTCACAAGAGCTATTTCGAACTTAATGATGGCGATCATAACCGCGATGACCTTCACATGGTTGCTGTTCTCTTCCGGTTGCTACGACAAAGCGGCTACAGGATTTCATGTGGTATGTTCATGAATCGTTCAGTTAAAAGTCCAATCCGTTGATGTATGTCTACCAAGGGAAAGTAAAAGAAAGAACTACAGCATTAATTCATGTATAGATGATTAGTTGACTAAGATCAGACTCTCTGCCATTTTTCCTCTAGACGTTTGTCCATGAGTTCTGAGTTCTTCATTCTTTTCGTCTTAGAAAGAAAAATGAAACTTAATAAGAAAAACCTGTTCCTATAGGAGAAAAATGTGTGGATCTATATAATAAGCTCCTAAAAAATGGCAATGAAGAACATCTTTAAGTATATAGCTAATCGTATTTTTGCCGAATTTTGATTGGTGACATAGAGATCTTTAAAAAGTTCAAGGACAGCGAGGGGAACTTCAGAGAATCACTCACTGCTGATATACGAGGAATGTTGAGTCTATATGAAGCTTGCCATCTAAGGGTTCACGGAGAAGATGTCTTGGACGAGGCACTTTCTTTCACTCTAACTCACCTTGAATCAATTGATGAAAATCAAGTGAGCCCCACTCTGGCAAAGCAAGTGAGTCATGCCCTACAGCAGCCAATTTACAGGGGTTTGCCCAGACTAGAAGCAAGGCAGTATATTCCAATCTACCAAGAAGAGCCTTCCCACAATGAAGCGCTACTCTCTTTAGCCAAGCTAGCTTTCAACTTGATGCAAGAACAACACCAGAAGGAACTCGGCCATATTGCAAGGTTAACTTCTTATATAATAACAACTCAAGGCAAATATAGTATCCTCAATTACAACTCTTAAATGAAGTGCATATGTTTCATGGTTCCCAACTCTTCTTCCTCTTTTTTCCTATGTTGTCTTTTGTGGCGCAAACTGTTTGCAGTTAAACCTCAATTACACATTTCAAAGAGAACTAAGTCATATGAATTCGTCGGTCTGTATTATCTAACAAGTTGAATTGTGTGATAAAAGAAGTGCCAACATTAGCTAGATTTACCACCCGCCTGTGTGGCGCTGCTGGAGCGCGCACTCTTCCTCTCGCAAAAGGTTGAGTGTTCGAATCCCGGGCGCCGCAGGGTGACTTAACCGGTGGCACGTGTGTGGTGGCTAGCACGTGTCGCCCCCAGGGTTTACTCCCCGGCTGTCGGCCGTGCGGGGGTTCCCTGGGTTACCAAAAAAAAAAAAAAAAACATTAGCTAGATTTGGAAAATAATTTGCAGGTGGTGGAAGGAATTAGACGTTGCGAGGAACTTTCCTTTTGCGAGAGACAGGCTTGTGGAGTGCTACTTCTGGATTCTGGGAGTATGTTTTGAGCCAGAGTTCGTCCTCACTAGAAGATTACTGACCAAAGTGATTGCCATGACTTCCATTATTGATGACATCTATGATGTCTATGGTACATTGGAAGAATTAGAACTCTTCACTGAAGCTATCGAAAGGTAATAACTGAGGTCTTACTCATCCTGAAAAAAAAACTGAGTTCTCAATGGTATCCATACACTTATCTGGCACATTCCCATACGATTTCAGGTGGAGCATTGATGCCATAGATGGACTGCCAAAGTACATGCAAGTATGCTATGAGGCACTTCTTGATGTTTATGATGATACTGAGAAAGCAATAGCCGAGAATGGAACATCATACGGGCTTTACTACGCAAAAGAAGCAGTAAGAGCTTTACATATTGCATCCATTCAACTAATTTTTACTCAGTCCTGCAGTAAAAGTATAAGATTTTTATTAGTATCTCCGTTGTATGAGAATTCGATCATGTAACTGACTATCAATCTCACTTATATCACATTTTTTTCCTACTAGTTGTCCATTGAAGAGACGTAATTCTCGACCGAATTACCTTGTATATTAGGATATCATATAAACTAATTACCATGTTGACTCGAGAAAAGAACCGAAAAAATAAGAAAGCAAAAAGAAATCTGTGCAAGTTGCATTTACAGAGTTTTTCTTTTCGGCCAAGTAGTTTTGCATTGATGCGATATAAGGATGCAGAAAGGAGCGACTAAAACGTGTTGGATTCTCTTGTTCTCTCTTCCTTAGATGAAAAACCTTGTGAGGGCCTACTTTGCTGAAGCCAAATGGTTCCATCAAGATCACGTCCCAACGATGCAGGAGTACATGGCCGTGGCATTAGTAACCTCTGCCTATGAAATGCTATCCACCACTTCATTTGTGGGAATGGGAGATCTTGCAACAAAAGATGCTTTTGACTGGTTGCTCGGCGGACCCAAGATGGTGAAGGCCTCAGCAACGATTTGCCGGCTCATGGATGACATCGTCTCTCACCAGGTGTGTCACCAAGAAGAGTATATTCTCATATTACGTGTTATTAGCCCATGCAGGCGCTTAGTCAGTTAAGTGAAACTTTTTGTTTGATATCTGTCGGTCATCGTTCGAACTTACAGTTTGAGCAGAAGAGAGGACATGTGGCGTCTGCGGTGGAGTGTTTCGTCGAACAATACGGCGTCCCGGAACAAGAAGCGAAGGACGAGCTCCGGAGACGAGTAATTGATGCATGGAAGGACATTAATGAAGAGTGTCTTGCTCCAACCGCGATCCCATCGCAACTTTTGACGCGAATTCTCAATTTCACGCGAGTGATCGATGTGTTGTATACGGATGAAGATAACTACACTAGTGCCGGGACCAAGCTAAAAAATTATGTCACTTCTCTGCTGATTTATCCCTTACCCATGTGAAATTCGAACTTAATTAGTTTTTTCTGTCTAAAGTTTCTTTCCAGTATGCGAGCTAGCTGAAAGCAGCGATGGATATCATCGAATGATTAGATAATCAATATAATCACTCTCCATTTTCTTCATCATTTCCTCCTCTCCTCACTCCTCACTCTCCATATCTTTTGCGACGTACACAAAATGTGCGTTCATTGCATTTATAAAAGAATCAAAATCAACTTTTGTCATATTTGTCTCGGCTCGGGAAATCCTATTATTTGTCCATAATACTTAGAGATGACTACGCCGAAGAGTTTTCGAAGCCAAAACATGGAAAGCCATCACAAGACAAATAGACTCGAACCAATTTAATTCTTTTGGCCAATTTTTTGATCGGAAATCGCTGAGGTGGCAGACTAATTAGTGCCGATTGTCTTACGTGGCATGTTTGGCGTTGACTTGGACAATTTTTTAAATTTTTTTCTTTTTTTCTTTTTTCCCTCCGCCGGTCATCGCTGAGCCTTGTTGATGGCCGGTGGAGGTGGCCGGCCTCAAGCGAGGGCTGCCCTTGTTGGCCTCGGGCGAGGGATGCCCTAGCTCAATCCAACTAGGGCGGCCCTTGCCAGCCCAAGAGTGGGTGTCCCATTGAGGCCGGCAACCTCCGCCAGCTATTGACGAGGCCCGATGATGGCCGGCGGAGGGAAAAAGAGAAAAAGAAAAAAGAAAAAAGAAAAAGAAAAGAAAAGAAAAAAAAAGAAAAGGAAAAAAAATTAAAAAAATTATCCATGTCAGCACTGGCCGTACCACGTAAGACGGTTGATGCTAACTAGATCACCACTTCAGCAATTTCCAATGGTCGAAAGGACTAAATTGACAAATCGTTAAAAGGTTTAGGATTAAATTGGCAAACCATCAAAACTTTTAGGATTAAATTAGTACAATTGAAATGTTTAGTGGCATAATTGAAAGGTTTAAGACTAAATTGGCCGCCGTACAATAGGTCTAGGTTTTTTTTGGACAATTTTCCCTAATTTTTTAGTGAATACATTGACAACTCTATATCGAAATTATCCATATGTCACTCATCCAATTATGAATATGTAAAAACCTTTTTAATTATAATAATAATTCTTTTATAATTAAAAGCATGATCTTTGCAAGATTTAGCTTTTAAATTAGAAGGTTATTTTTAAAAAGTTCCTAAAAACACTATTTAAGACTTGGAAAAATTATCGAAAAAGACCTAAACTTATTGTATGTCGACTAATTCAGTCGTTGACTTTTTATTTGTGCCAATTTAGTCCCCAAACCTTTTGACCGATTGTCAATTTAGTAACTCCGGTCAATTTAGACCGAAAATTGCCGACGTACTTGGTCTAACCAAGGCAGTACTTCATTTTATGTCGATGCGGATTGGCCTCGTTGTTCTTGGTCTGGTCATCCACAAGCTCCTCCCTCTTTCTATATTGCAGTGTGTTCTTAGCTCATCACGTTTGGACCATCCCACCTCTCAAAGCACTCAAGAAAGCTGCCCCTAAATTATTAGATTTTCCTTTTCCAATTGATTTTTACATTACTTTTGACAGTTAATACCAGTTAAGATTGCCAAACTCTGGAAAGCTCATTTGAATGTGCTAAGAGCTACAGTTACAGGGACTATATAGGCCCGGAGACCATCGTAGCCATGGAAGAAGCTGGGTCCCTATCTCAAATGTGGGATTCTCCTGTTACACTGACAATGAAATCTACATGACCAAGTCCCTGTAGGAAGAGCTTTCATTGGGCCCTCGCGACTCAGTAGCATCGCTCTCTCTGAATTAAAGTCACAGTGTGAATGACACTAGAGGAAGAGGACTTAAGCATGTGGCTGAGAAAAAAAGATGTCTGTACACCAGACCTTGGAGTTGCACCTGGCGTTATTTCTGCTTGACTTCCTCATTTTTCAGGTAAAAGAAACCCTTCTTTACTTTCCAACAGCTACTACTCCAATCACGTTATTTTGAATTTATAATTGCAGGGCCATATTAAGAGATTTATGAAAATACTATTGAAATATCGTCCAACATCGCTTGATTACGGATCCTAATTGCTCTTTATATTCATGTGGTCTTCCTCCACCTATTAGCTTAAACTTTTGAAACAGTTGGCAATAGTCTCACTAAATTTCACATGGTATCAGAGTAGGAGGTCTTGAGTTTGAATCTTTCCAAGCCTCTATTTGTCTCCTTATTATCCCTTTCGTGAATGTCCGTAGTCTCGTAATTCGACTTGCATATATGAGAAGGAGCGGGTCATAATTAAAAATCAAATTGTAAAAAGCCTCTACAAGGAGCCAACATGCAAGTATCTATCTACACATTTCACCCTTAAAAATCATTTTGTACGTGACAAGGAGTGTTAATCTCTTTGGAATACGGTCTAAGGTACTTTCTATAATTCTATCATTGATGTGTTTGCTTTAAACGGGATTTGGTGGTAAACTGTAGGTGGTGGAAGGATTTAGACATAGAGAGGGTGTTCCCATTTGCTAGAGATAGGCTTGGGGAGCTGGATGTTAGGAGTTCATTTTGAACCGGAGTATGAGACCGCTAGAGAAATAGGAACCAAAATGATGGTCGTTCTTATCATTCTCGGCAACATCTACGATGTCTGTGGTACATTAGACGAACCAGAACTCTTCACGGAAGCATTGAGAGGTACAGTTGGCACTCGGAGGCTTTTCTCAGTTTACCAATTCTAATCTTACTTATTTTAATTTGATCAATTGTTAATTAGGGTCAAGTTTTATATTTTCCAAACTTGAACTCAGTTGGGATGTCGATGCCAAAGATGGATTGCCAGAGAGCATGCAAGTGTTTTACAAGACACTTGTTGATTTGTATGATGAAATTGACTGCGCATTTACCAGAAAAGGAAGGTCTTACCGCATCTTCTATGCAAAAGAAGTGGTAGGCCATTCGATGTTACATCAATCAAATGCGACTTTTACTTTGTCCACTTGAAACAGAATATCGAGCTTTTGGATAAGGCATTACTTGATGTTTATGATGATACTGGGAAAGCCATGCCCGAGAATGGAACATCAAACGGGCTGTACTAGGCCAAAGAAGCAGTAAGAGCTTTCCATATTACATCCGTTCAATTAATTTTTACTCGGACTGGCAGTGAAGATATAGTTTCGGTCGGCATCTCCATTAGTCTAAAAAAGAAGTTTCCATAACTCCTATTGTATGATGACATGTGCAAGAATTCGATTATGTAACTAGCTATCAAACTCACATATCGCACTTTTCTTTTTGAGTTTTGCTAGCATAATGGTCTTTGAGCTTCTATGAAAGTAACCATATATTATGAGTCACAAATTCTTGAAGAAGTAGACTCTATAGCCGTTTCTAATTATTTGTTATTTGTTTTTTTGTGACCCATAACAGATGGTTAATCTCACAGTGGATTAAGGGCAATCGTATAAGCATTTCTCTTTCTTTTTCACTAGTCTTGCATAGAAGAGACGTAACTCTCCAATAGATTACCTTGTATATTAAGCTATCGTATTAACTAATTACCATGTTGATCCAAGAGAAGAACCAAAAGAAATGTGCGCAAGTTGCATTTCCAAAGTTCAACTTTGTGGCCAGTACATGGCCGTTGCATTAGTCACGTCTGCCTGTAAAATGCTATCCACCACTTCATTTGTGGTAATTGGAGATCTTGCAACAAAAGATGATTTTGGCGTCCAATGGGTCCACTTGCGATGATGTCGCTTCGGCAAAGCCATATTAAATGGCTAAAATCATTCAAGTTGACACTTTCTCTCTTTGCTCATTACCTAATATCTAAATTGAGATGTCACAATATTTACTGAATATGCAAACCACATAACCAATTGTGGTTAACTTTTCCCGAGCAACTAAGCCAGGTTAGCAATTAATCACATGACGTGGCAATTTATTTAACAGAGGCCTTATATTGACGCATATTTGATAATTTGAGCTATTTGATTGAACAAAAAAAATGTATCTCCTCAATTATAAAATGGGTAAAAGCAAGTATTTGCGACACCATTACCACATAGTAGCAATTATTACATTCACAAAGAAAAAATGCTACACCTAATATTGAACTAACCTTTTCCATCACTATGTAGCACAAATAATAAATTGCCTATGTTATACTTATTGAACCATTTGAAAGTTTTAAAACAGTACGAGATATTTCAGTTGAAAAGATTATATGATAAAAAAAAATCGATGGCCGAGGAACTATCCTATTTTGATTAGCAAGTCCCTCGACTCTTACTTTGACATGTAATGCAATTAAGGAAACATTAACTAGAGTTATATTATTTTATGTTGTTGGGTAGCGTGATTGGAGAAAATTGTCACGTCGCGAACACTACAAAAAAATCGCCGTTTTGCAACGAATTTTCCAACGAAAAATTTTGCAAAATTCGTTGGAAAACGAATTTCCAATGAAATTAGCGACGAACAAAAATTCGTTGTCGCAAATTTTTCCGACGAAATTTTTTCGTCGCAAAAATTCGTTGGAAACTTCGTCAGAAAATTCGTTGGAAAGTTCGTTGGAAATGTCGTCACTAATTATTCGTTGCAAAAATCGTGGCAAAATTCGTCGGTAATTTTTCGAGGTAAAATTCGTTGCAAAACGAATTTCCGACAAAATTAGCGACGAAAAAAAATTGGTCGCTAATTCGGCGTCGGAAATTTTTTGCGACAAAAAATTTGAATTTTTTGTTGGTAATTTCCAACGAAAACAGGGTCGTTGCAAAAATTCGTGGGAAATTTCCCACGAATTTTGGGACAAAATTGAAAAACCCAGTATTTTGCCACAAACAAAAAAATTCGTCAGAAATTTTTTCCGTAAATTTTTGCGACGAAAATCTGAATATTCGTTGGTAATTTGCGACGAAAATTAATTTGTCGCTAATTATTCGTTGCAAATTTCGTGGCTATGGAAAATTCGTGGGAAATTTCCCACGAATTTTCCAACGAAATTCAAATTTTCAGCTTTTTTCAAATTCGTGGGAAAATTCCCATGAATTTTCCAAGGAAATTCAAATTTTTGGCTTTTTTTGCTATTCGTTGGAAAATTCGTGGGAAATTTCCCACGAATTTTCCAACGAAATTCAAATTTTCGGCTTTTTTCAAATTCGTTGGAAAAAGCTTCAATTTCGTGGGAAAATTCGTGGGAAATTTCCCACGAAATTGAAAAACCCGGTATTTTGCCACGAACAAAAAAATTCGTTGGAAATTTTTTTTCGCAAAATTTTGCGACGAAAATTTGGATTTTCGTTGATAATTTGCGACGAAAATTAATTCATAGCTAATTATTCGTTGCAAAATTTGTGACTAAATTAGTTGCAAAATTCATTCAAAAATTTGTCGCAAAATATTCGTTGCAAATATCGTGGGAAATCTCAAATTTTGCCGCAAAAAAATTTCAATTTTCGTTGATAAATTACGACGAAAAAAAAATTGGTGGCTAAATTCGTGGAAAAATTCGTTGCAAAATTTGTCGCTAAAAATTCGCGAATTTTGCAACGAATTTAAACATAATCTAATATTTTATTTTTCGAATTTTAAACCCAATTAAAAGAAACATTAATTTCTAGAATTTATATTTAACATTGAGCACTTAATAACGTCAAAATATTATAATAATATGAAAATGAAATACATTCATCAACGTTTTCCACAAGAATGACATAAATATTTTTTTTTATAGTACACATAATGAGAGAATAAATAATCTTGCACAATAAATAATGACGACAAAAATGAATAAAAAAAAACTACCCTGCTTTTAGCGACAATCCCCGTCATATAAATACTAAACAAAACTACTAAAGATACGGTCCATGTGTGATGCTCACTTCCTGCTCCAGTTTTAACAGATGCCAGTTGAAATGTTGTTGCAACCTCTCATTTGCATAACTTATGCAGAAATTGCCACGACAGCCTCTCTCTGTATATGCTGTACTTCCGAGGTTCTACCTGCACCAAAGTGTTATCTTAGCCATAATTTTCTGGAATAGATAACCAAAAAATAAGAGTAGGCTTCATTAAATCTGCAGATTCACACTGCATCTTCAAATTCCAATACCAAGTTAATCACCATAAAATTTCGTCATACTCACCGAGGCATATCTTATAGATGCAACTCAAAAATGGGCAAGAAGAGAAGTTACAAATATCAAATTCAAAGTCCAATAAAATCCCAAAAACTACAAAATGAATAGTCAAGAAAGTATACTATTAGATCAAAGTGCAGCATAAGTATGGCAACCAAAGGTTTTTCATCATATGGAGCACTTCGTAGATACAAAAGCAGAACATGCATTGCATTGACCATCTCTTCATTGGCCAACTTACCCAAGAAAGATACAACATCCTTCCTCCTGTTATTTCAAACAAGAATACTAAGTATCATGCCAAAACAATATACAGGTTCTCGATATGTTTAAGTTACTTCCTCAAAACCAAAACCACACTCTCCAACATAATCAGGGGAGATCAAGGTACTAAAAATACATAGATATATTATAAAAGGACATCCAGGTATTTCATACCTTGTAATCCCAATCCCTGTACTGTGAACCCTTCAAAGTACATAAGTGAAAATCCATTGCTATTGAAATGAGATCAACAACATGAAATGGTTATGACAATCGCCATCTGTACTAAATGATTACTTCACATAACATTTTAGACAAAATATGTCCATCCTGATATGTCTAAGTTCACAGTATATTCTCTGTAATGATTGACTACAAATTACATCTAAAAGTACTTTAACACATGAGACAGAATAAATTCTATAGAGAGCGGAGTTTGCAAGATAGCCTAGATCTAAATTAAATTGCAAACACTGCATCTTTAACTAAACATAGATTTACTTGCAACTCATACTCTATAGATGGACTCAACAGAGTAAGCAAATCTTCACAATTTAACCGGTGGTCTGATGGGTTTTACTGTAGGTCCCATAAATTTGTAGTAGATCCTCAATAATCGGACAAAGTATATAAAAACAAATGCCAAGCGCAATGTCTATACCTTGAGCTTAATGCCATTTCCAAACGACACATCACCTGTGACTTTCAAGCTATCCAACTCAACTACACTGGGAATAGACTCGAAGCGGCTCACAAAACTTCCGAACTGAAAAAGGCAGATATAATGAAACATGACATTAATATTCGTAATAGGCGGAATAAGGATACACAACTAAAGTAACCTTCACCTTATCAAATTCAGGTCCCAAATCAATAGAAGGATCTTTGGGATTAGTTCTGGCAGCATTTCTAATTAGAACTCCATTGGATGCGGTATATAGATCCAACTGCATATGAACATTAGAGTAACATAGCATTCATATCAAGTACAAAATGCAGATTGGAGAGTGTTCTGTAGTTTGTAATACCTGGAGAAGAAGTACATCTGAAGATGCATTCAGTGGAAAATAACGCGATGAAGGGACGGAAATCTGACGACGTGGTCGTCACCGACGCGGTCCCTGGCCTCGGTGATGACCACGTCGGGGGCCTTGTCGCGGTGCTTCGTGGTGAGCGCCTGGGCGATGCAGAGCCCGCTGTTCTCGCCCCCGACCACCACGCAATCAACTAGTCCCCCGCCGGCGGCCCTCGGCTGGGAGATCGCGGGGCCCTCGGCGACGAAGCATCGGATCCCGGCCTCGCCCATGGCCGCCGTCGCCCAGATCTGGGCGGGCCCTCGGCTGAGGTCTGCACGAGGTCGAGCGGCGGCCGACCTCGTCTAGATCTGGGGCGAGGGAGGGCTTGTGGACGCGGAACGGGCGTGTGGCGACGAAGGAGGAGGGACGACGGCGAGGTCGAGCAGCCATGGGCGGGCCGCTCGACCTCGCCCAGATCTGCTCGAGGTCGAGCGGCGGCCGACCTCGTCCAGATCTGGGGCGAGGGAGGGCTTGTGGGCGCGGAACGAGCGTATGGCGACGGAGGAGGAGGCAACGGCGGCGGTGGCGGTGACGGAGGCCATCATGGCTGGCGGAGGGAGGAGGGAGCGACGGAGAGGTGTTTGGCGGAAGAGGGGGGATATGAGGAATAGCAGAGAGAGAGAGAGAAAAATTGGGGTTAGGGCGGGGAGATTTGCCACGAAAGGGCGGGGAGCAAAATTGGCGATGAAGTCATCTGTTCGTCGCTAATTTTAGCGACGAAAATAAGAGTTTGTCGCTAAATCGCCAAAATTAGCGATGAACATAAGAGTTCGTAGCTAATTAGCCACGAAAAAAAAATTCGTCCCAAAAATTTTTATATTTTTTAAATTGGTAATGTCAAGTTCATGGTTAAATTCGTCGCTAATTAACCATGGATTTTTTTCGTGGCTAAATCCGTCGCTAATGATGATAACGAGTTGTTTGATTGAAGTTATTTCGAGCACTTGAATATACTCTTCCTGCCAAATTCTTTGGAAATCTAAAATTCGTTGGAAATTTCCCACGAATTTTCCAACGCAATAGTCTATAGTGTAATATTTTGTCAAGAATTCGAAATTCGTTGGAAAATTCGTGGGAAATTTCCAACGAATTTATAATTCGTGGGAAATTTCCCACGAATTTTCCAACGACATAGTGTATAGTGCAATATTTTGTCAAGAATTTGAAATTCGTTAGAAAATTCGTGAGAAATTTCCCACGAATTTTCCAACGACATAGTTTATAGTGCAATATTTTGTCAAGAATTTGAGATTCGTCGAAAAATTCGTGAGAAATTTCCAACGAATTTTAAGTTCGTGGGAAATTTCCAACGAATTTTAAGTTCGTGGGAAATTTCCAACGAATTTTAAGTTCGTGGGAAATTTCCCACGAATTTTAAGTTCGTTGGAAATTACCCACGAATTTTAATTTCGTGGGAAATTTCCCACGAATTTTAAGCTCGTTGGAAATTACCCACGAATTTTAAATTCGTTGGAAAGTTCCCACGAATTTTCCAACACAATAGTTTACAGTGTAATATTTTGTCAAGAATTCGAAATTCGTGGGTAATTTCCAACGAACATAAAATTCGTTGGAAATTTCCCACGAATTTTCCAACGACATAGTTTATAGTGCAATATTTTATCAAGAATTTGAGATTCGTTGGAAAATCCGTGGGAAATTTCCAACGAATTTTAAGTTCGTGGGAAATTTCCAACGAATTTTAAATTCGTTGGAAATTTCCCACAAATTTTCAGTTCGTTGGAAATTACCCATGAATTTAAAATTCGTGGGAAATTTCCAACGAATTTTAAATTCGTTGGAAAGTTCCCATGAATTTTAAATTCGTTGGAAAGTTCCCACGAATTTTTCAACGCAATAGTCTATAGTGTAATATTTTGTCAAGAATTCGAAATTCGTTGGAAAATTCGTGGGAAATTTCCAATGAATTTTAAGTTCGTTGGAAATTTTGCACGAATTTTCTAACGAATTTCTAATTCGTGGGTAATTTCCAACGAACTTAAAATTCGTTAGAAATTTCCCACGAAATTAAAATTCGCTGGAAATTTCCCACGAATTTTCCAACGCAATAGTCTATAGTGTAATATTTTGTCAAGAATTCGAAATTCGTTGGAAAATTCGTAGGAAATTTCCAACAAATTTTAAGTTCGTTGGAAATTTCCCACGAATTTTCCAACGAATTTATAATTCGTGGGTAATTTCCAACGAACTTAAAATTTGTTGGAAATTTCTCACGAATTTTCCAACGCAATAGTCTATAGTGTAATATTTTGTCAAGAATTCAAAATTCGTTGGAAAATTCGTGGGAAATTTCCCACGAATTTTCCCAGGAATTTGAAAATTCTAATATTTTTCCCAACTATTTCAATTCCGTCGCTAAATCTGAAGCTAATTAGCCACGAATTCTAATTATAACAACAACGACGACAACAACAACAATAATTACGACAACAATAATAACAAAAATTTATGAGAAAAAAAAAACACATGTCGTAATAATAATAATAATTGCAAATAAATAGTAAAAAGTCTCAAAAATCATATTCTTCATCTTCATCTTCGTCTTCAGCTTCGTCTTCGTCTTCATCTTCGTCTTCGTCTTCTTCATGCGCATCATCTTCATCCTCTGTCTCATAATCAAATTCTGTACCAACTTCAAAATTTGATTCGCGAATTTCAGTTGGATCCACATTGATCATCGCTCCACATGGATCTCGTAAAGTTGGAATGGTATATTCATGAGTTTCAATCGTGTGACGAACTTTCTCTTGTTGAAATTTCCAACGAATTTCGAGCACTTGAATATACTCTTCTTTGGTAATTTTTATATTTTCCCTACCAAATGGTGGAAAAAAAAATTTATTTCATTTGCAAGCTTCAACCAAATACCAAACAATATTATCATTTTCATGAAAAATGACTTCTCATAAACATTTTCAAGAAAATATTATATTTTCCACGAAATAAACATAATCTAAAATCATGATCGAACGTGTTGGGGTTTGTTGAGGCGATTGTCGTGGCTAATTTGCGATGAAATTAGCGACCAGATCTGGGCATAGTCGACGGCGAGGAGGAAGGCGAGGAGGAGATTTGGTTCGGGCTTCTTCTTTGGCGAGGAGGATAGCGAAGAGGATGACTTTGCATTTGTTTGCCGGCATTTTTTTGAAATTGGTGGCAAATTTTTCATGAATTTTGCAACGAATTTTTTTAAAAAAGCATTTATTCTACTATGTCCTGTTTTCGTGGCAAGTGGCAAATTTGCCATGAATTTTGCCACGAAAATAAAAAAAACGCATTTATTCTACTATGTTCTATTTTCGTGGCATTTATTCTAATATGTTCAATTTTCTTGGCAAAATTCATGGCAAATTTGCCACGAATTTTTAAAAAAGGCATTTATTCTACTATGTTCAATTTTCGTGGCAAAATTTGCCACGAATTTTAAAAAAGGCATTTATTCTAATATGTTCTATTTTTGTGGCAAAATTCGTGGCAAATTTGCCACGAATTTCCAAAAAAGGCATTTATTCTAATATGTTCAATTTTCATGGCAAAATTCGTGGCAAATTTGCCACGAATTTTAAAAAAAGGCATTTATTCTAATATGTTCAATTTTCGTGGGAAAATTCATGGCAAATTTGCCACGAATTTTAACAAAAGGCATTTATTCTAATATGTTCTATTTTCCCACGAATTTTAACAAAAGGCATTTATTCCAATATGTTATATTTTCGTTGGAAAATTCGTGGCAAATTTGCCACGAATTTAAAAAAAACGCATTTATTCTAATATGTTCTATTTTCGTTGGAAAATTCGTGGCAAATTTGCCACGAATTTTAACTAAAGGCATTTATTGCAATATGTTCTATTTTCGTTGGAAAATTCGTGGCAAATTTGCCACAAATTTTCCAACGAATTTCAAAAAAACACATTTATTCCAATATGTTCTATTTTCTTTGGAAAATTCGTGGCAAATTTGCCACGAATTTTCACACGAATTTCAAAAAAACCCATTTATTCCAATATGTTCTATTTTCGTTGGAAAATTCGTGGCAAATTTGCCACGAATTTTCCAACGAGTTTGAACAAAAGGCATTTATTCCAATATGTTCTATTTTCGTTGGAAAATTCGTGGTAAATTTGCCACGAATTTTCCAACGAATTTCAAAAAATCGCATTTATTCCAATATGTTCTATTTTCGTTGGAAAATTCGTGGCAAATTTGCGACGAAAAATTTTTTCGTCGGAAAATACCGATGAAAAATTTTTTCGTCAAATTTCCAACAAATTTAGTTTTCGTCACAAAAAGTCGTTGCTAATTTCCGACGAAAAATTTGTAAATCGCAAAATCCTAGTTTTTTTGTAATGAGAGAGAAATTGGGCGTGGGGACGGATATCAAAAAAATCATTTTTCGTGTCGGAAATTTGCGACGAAAAATTTTTCGTCCCAAAATTCGTCGGAAATTAGCGACGAAAAATCTTTCGTCGCAAAATTCGTCGGAAATTTGCCACGAAAAATTTTTGGTCGCCAAAATTCGTCGGAAATTTGCGACGAAAAGTTTTTCGTCGGAAATTTTGTCGGAAATTTTCGACGAAAAGTGTTTCGCCGCAAAATTCGTCGGAAATTTGCAACGAAAAATGCGATTTTTTGAAATTCGTTGGAAAATTCGTGGCAAATTTGCGACGAAAAATTTTTTCGTCGAAAAATACCGATGAAAAATTTTTCGTCGCAAATTTCCAACAAATTTAGTTTTCGTCACAAAAGTCGTTGCTAATTTCCGACGAAAAATTTGTCGTCGCAAAATCCTAGTTTTTTTGTAGTGAGAGAGAAATTGGGCGTGGGGACGGATATCAAAAAAATCATTTTTCGTGTCGGAAATTTGCGACGAAAAATTTTTCGTCGGAAAAATCGTCGGAAATTAGTGACGAAAAATCTTTCGTCGCAAAATTCGTCGGAAATTTGCGACGATTAAATTTCGGTTGTAAAATTCGTCGGAAATTTCCGACGAAAAATTTTTCGTCGCCAAAATTCGTCGGAAAAATCGTCGGAAATTTGCCACGAAAAATTTTTGGTCGCCAAAATTCGTCGGAAATTTGCGACGAAAAGTGTTTCGTCGCAAAATTCGTCGGAAATGTGCGACGAAAAATTTTTCGTCGGAAATTTCGTCGGAAATTTGCGACGAAAACTGTGTCGTCGCAAAATTCGTCGGAAATTTGCAACGAAAAATT